AAGGAAGACAGCAGGGCAGTCCTCGCGCCTCTCTCCAATGCCTTTATGCTGCTGCTGCTGCTGCTGCTGCTGCTGTGGTTGCTGCAGGGGGACGGAGGAGACAGAGAAGGAGACAGCCGCAGCAGGGCTCGACACAGAGTGAAGATGTCTTTGCTGCTGAGAAGAGACAGTTGCTGCTCGCAGCGCACAAGCAGCAGCGGCAGCAGCGGCAAGCCAGCAGCAGCAGACGAACCAGCAGCAGCAGCAGCAGCAGCTGGTGCAGCAGCAGCAGCAGCAGCAGCAGCAGCAAGGCCACGAGGCAGCAAACCTCCCCCAGCAAGAGCAGCAAGAGCCCGAACGATGCAGCTGCCGCTGAGGGTGGGGTCGTCAATAGGGGGCAAGGCCCTGAGTTGCTGCAGCAGCTGCTGCAGCTGCTGCTGCTGCTGCTGCTGCAGCTGCTGCTGCTGCAGCAGGAGCAGCAGCTGCTGCTGCTGATGAGGATCAGAGGGACCCAATACAGAGACAAGGATACACTCCAGCAGCAAAAGGAGACCATTGGTGTTGCTGCTGGGCGGCAGCAGAGACAGCAGAGACACCCAAAGAGACACCAGTTGCTGCAGCAGCAACAGCAGCAGCAGCAGCAGTAACAGCAACAGCAGCAACAGCAGCAACAGCAGCAGCAGCAGCAAAAACAACAACAGCAGCAACAGCAGCAGCAGCAAACCCGCATAATTCACAGCCGTCCCATTCTGCCCTAAACCCTAAACCCTAAACCCTTAACCCTCGGCCCCAAACCCTAAACCCTAAACCCTCGACCCCAAACCCTAAACCCTAAACCCTAAACCCTAAACCACCTGTGCAGTCCAGCCGAAGTGCGAGGGTTTCCAGCGGGGTACGTGCCTTGTCTCCACCGCCTCTATCAATAGGCGGTTTGCTGCAGCAGCATCTGTCTCCTCTTGCTGCTGCTGCTGCTGCTGCTGCTGCTGCTGCTCCTCTTGCTGCTGCTGCTGCTGCTGCTGCTGCTGCAGGCAGCGAGCAAAATGTAGGGTCAGCTGCTGCGCAATCTGCTGCAGCAGCAGCTGCGAGGGTGCATGCAGTGGCTGCGGGGCGCAGCAGCAGATGCGGTGTATGTCTGCTGCTGCAGCAGCAAGCTGCTTCAGGTCCCAAGCAGCAACAAACCTGCTCGATACACGTAGCAGGTTAGCAGCAGCAGCAACTTGCTGCTGCTGCTGCTGCTTCTGCTGCTGCTGCTGCTGCTGCTGCTGCTGCTGCCTCAGCAGGCTCTCTAAAGGCCATAGACGAGGAAAAGCCCCCAACAGAGCAGCAGCATCTTTGCTGCTGCAGTGCAGCAGCACGCGGTTGAGGTGTACATACAGCTCAGGTAGCGCAGCAGCTGCAGCAGCACGAAAAGCAGCAGCAGCAGAGGGAGCAGCAGGACCTGCAGCAGCAACAGCAGCAGCAGCAGCAGCAGATGCTGCTGGTGCTGCTGCTGCTGCTGCATCTTTGTGTGCACCCGCCTCATGAGGAAGCAAACTGCTGTTGCTGCCTCCATCCGTCTCTCTCGCAGCAGCAGTTGCTGCTGCTGCATTTTCTGCTCCCTCTGCTGCTGCTGCTGCTGCTGCTGCTGTTGCTGCTGCTGCTGCTGCTGCTGCTGCTGCTGCTTCAGGTGTATCGCAGAGCCGCGCGAGCGAAGACAGCAGCAAAGACACGTCCCTTATAGAGAGGGTCTCCGCCTGCACCACAGCCCCCCTGAGGGCCACCTGCAGCAGCACGTACACCTGCTGCCGCAGCTCTAGCAGCAACCCACGCTGCTGCTGCTGCTGCTGCTGCTGCTGCTGCTGGTGGCGAGGTAGCTGCTGCAGCTGCTGCAGCTGGCTGCTGCATTCAGATACAAGAAGAGATGCGTCCTGAGGAAACCACACAACACAGAGAGACACACCCTGCAGCTATATATCATATGCTGCTGCTGCTGCTGCTGCTGCTGCTGCTGGTGCTGGTGCTGCTGCTGCTGCTGCTGTTGGTGCTGCTGCTGCTGTTGGTGCTGCTGCTGCTGCTGCTGCTGCTGCTGCTGACTCACATGCATAAGGGTTGAAAGCTGTGCTGCAGTTGCTCCCCCAATAGCCTGAGGTGCTGCCTGCAGCAGCAGCTGCAGCAGCAGCAGATAGTGCTGCTGCCACGCTCTCTTGATTCGCATCTGCTGCTGCATGTTTTTGAAATAAACGAGTTGCTGCAGCAGCTGCTGCTGCAGCAGCAACTGCTGCTGCTGCTGTTGCTGTTGCTGCTGGTATCCCAGTGGTGCCGCGGACGAAAGTAAAGAGCAAAACGTCTGCTGCTGCTGCTGCTGCTGCTGCTGCTGCTGCTCGCTGCTGCAGCGCGAAACTGCTACCACTGCATGCATCACCCCACAAGTGGAGACAGCAGCAAACTCCCCCAGAACAGCAGGCAGCCGCTGCAGCAGCAGCAGCAAGAGCAGCAGCAGCAGCAACAGTAGCAGCAGCAACAGCAGCAGCAGCAATAACAA